ATAGAAGATAGAAGATAGAATAGAATATAGAATATAGAATAGAATTGAACTGAATAGTATTGAATTACAGAATAGACCAGAATATAGAATAGAATAGAATAGAATAGAATAGAATAGAATAGAATTACAGAAAAGAATAGAAAAGAATAGAAAATGGAATAGAATAGAATAGAATAGAATAGAATAGAATAGAATAGAATAGAATAGAATAGAATAGAATAGAATAGAAAATGGAATAGAATAGAATAAGGAATAGAATAGAATAGAATAGAATAGAATAGAATAGAATATGGAATAGAATAGAATAAGGAATAGAATAGAATAGAAAATGGAATAGAAAATGGAATAGAAAATGGAACAGAATAGAATAGAATAGAATAGAATAGAATAGAATAGAATAGAATAGAATAGAAAATGGAATAGAAAATGGAATAGAAAATGGAATAGGAATAGAATAGAGCAGAATACAGAATAGAATAGAGTAGAGTAGAGTAGAGTAGAGTAGAGTAGAGTAGAGTAGAGTAGAGCTGGGAGGGGCCTTGGAGGTCTTCTAGTCCAGCCCCCTGCTCAAGCAGGAGAACCTATATACCATTTCAGACATGTGTGTGTGTAGTCTCATCTTAAAAATCTCCAGGGACAGAGGTTGTGGGTGCTCCATCACCAGAGGCTTTTAAGAATAGACTGGACAGCCACCTGCCTGAAATGGTGCAGGGTCTCCTGCCTGAGCAGGGGGTTGGACTAGAACAGGGGTCCCCAACCTCCAGTGGTGAAACGCCCACAACTTCTCGTTCCACTGATTAATTGTCCTCACTATTAGGAAGTTTTTCCTCAATTCCAGCTTGCTTCTCTCCTTGATTAGTTTTTATACATTGCTTCTTGTCCTGCCTTCGGGTGCTTTGGAGAACAGCTTGACTGCCTCTTCTTTGGGGCAGCCCCTGAGATACTGGAACACTACTATCATGTCATCCCTGGTCTTTCTTTTCCATGGTGAGTCCTAACTCTATTGAGGATTGACTAGGTCTTATGGGGTGGATTGAGTCGTTTTGGTTCAGCATATGCTAAATCAACCAATCATTCAATCAATCATTCAATAATCAATCATTCAATCAATCATTCAATCATCAATCATTCAATCAATTGTTCAATCAATCATTCAATCAATCATTCAATCAATGGATCAACATCCCACTTCGGAACAGAAATTCAATTTCTCTTCTGAAGCTCCTTCCAACGTTTCTCCTGCCGTCTCTTAGGGCTTCGAGTGGGACCTGAAAGGACTTCCATTGGACCAGAATGCGGAACTTCACGTGGTGGTCAAGGATCATGAAACCATGGGCAGAAACAGGTGGGGCTCCCAGGCATGTCTGTCTGTGTGTGTGTGCGTGTTACAAAAAAGTCAATATGGCGAACACCAAGATGTAAGTAAAGCCTCACTTACGGGGTTTTTTTCCCTATGCTTTGCAGAGTTTATTAGCTGGTTCTCACTTTGACCTAGACCTAGAGCAGGGGTAGTCAACCTTGGCTCTTTTATGACTCATGGACTTCAACTCCCAGAATCCCTGAGCCAGCATGGGGGAACTATGGACCATACCTTCATGACTCGTGGACTTCAACTCCCAAAATTCCTGAGCCAGCCATGCTGAGGGGAAAGGGAGAGGTTTCCAAGCTGAGCTGTGCTGGCTCAGGAATTCTGGGAATTGAAGTCCACCAGTCATAAAGCGGCCTAGGCCTAGGCCAGAGGTAGGCAACCTTGGCTCTTTTATGACTGGTGGACTTCAACTCCCAGAATTCCTGAGCCAGCCATGCTGAGGGGAAAGGGAGAGGTTTCCAAGCTGAGCCATACTGGCTCAGGAATTCTGGGAGTTGAAGTCCACCAGTCATAAAGCGGCCTAGGCCTAGATGGGCACTTAAAAATAGCTGTCTGGCCCACAAGACGAAGCAAATACACCCAGCAAGAGAAGGACTTAGCGAGCCCTGGGGAATTTGGAAGGAGGCCCCTGTCCAAGGTGTTTTTTGCTTGTTTATTATTTGTTTTTCCCATTTTTGAACCGTCCGTCTCCCTCAGAGAGGGACTCAGGGTGGTGCACAATCAAAGGTTAAAATATAACAACAGTGCAGTGGTGAGGATCAGCCAGTTCGCACCACTTCGGCAGAACAGGTAGCTAATTTTTTTGTTGCCCAGACCCAGAATGGACTTCCGGAAACAGCATCCACACAGAGAACCGGTTGTTTACCTGTTTGAATCCCACCACTGCAACAGTGTATTAAAAAATGAAAAATGTGGAAGGAGGCCAGGCTGATCTATATATATCTATATATCTATATATTTATATATATATATCTATATCTTATATCTATCTATCTATCTATCTATCTATCATCTATCTATCTATCTATCTATCTATCTATCTATCTATCTATCTATCTATCTATCTATCTATCTCTATCTCTGTCTGTCTGTCTATCTATCTATCTATATCGCTATCTATCTATCTATCTATCTATCTATCTATCTATCTATCTATCTGTCTATCTGTCTATCTGTCTATCTGTCTATCTGTCTCTCTGTCTCTGTCTCTGTCTCTGTCTCTGTCTCTGTCTCTCTCTCTCTCTCTNTCTCTCTCTCTCTGTCTATCTATGTACATAAATAAAATGAGAGTACTACATAGAAAATATATACATATAAAATATGTATATAAAATGACAGCAAACTCCACTCCCTTCTGCTACTGATGATGTTCCTTAGTTGGGTCATAAAACGTCTGCAAGAAAACAACCAAGTTTAGCACCAAGAATCCAGCAGTTTTCCTCCTCCTCCTCCTCCTCCTCCTCCTCCTCCTCCTCCTCCTCACTCCATTGTAGCACTGATGTTGTTCCCTACTTGGGTTATAAAACATCTGCACAAAAGCAGCCATGCTCGGAGAGCACCAAGGACCTCACAGTCCTCTTCCTTCCCCCCTCCTCCACGCTCTTCCTCTCCACAAACCCCACTCCCTGCCAGCACTGATGGTGTAACCTAGCTGGGTCATGAGATGCTTGCAAGAAAGCCACCCAGCTCAGCACCAAGGACCCCTCATTTCAACCCCGAGCTCCGTTTTCACTGCCGCTTTGACTTTTGGTTGACCTCCTGCAAGAGTTAGCCAGGTGCCAAAAGGTCCAGGGGCCGGCTTGATGGGTGTGTGTGTGGGGGGGGTCCCCTTCTCCTGCTCTCTGGAGACCAGCATGGGTGATCCTGGCTTGGCGCATTCCTTGGAAGATCCTGGGACAAGGCTGGTCCTTCCAGAATGGAGAACAGGAAGAGGGTTTCAAGGAGAAAAAAGGCCGTCTCCGCTGAACAATGCCGGGAAACGGGAGGGGAAGTGACCCCAGGAGGACCCAAGAATCTTGTGAGTCCTGGGCACCGGCGGCCGGCTCGGGTGGGACGTGAGCTGAGTTGACAGGCTGTCCTGCAGGACTGTTTTTTCCCCTTCCTTTTTAAAAGCCAGTCTGAATAATGGCTTGTGAGTCTCCGTCTTGGAAAAATGTCACCTTTCCTGTCCAGGTTAGTTCCCCTTCGGGAATGGCTATTTATGGGATTCAGTTGATATGTTGAGATTTGGAAATATAAAGTATATATATTTATTTCCTGCTTCCTGGCTTCCTCCCATATCGGGGGTTCAGGCTGAAAGCACAGAGGAGTGGCGTAATATATATATATATATATATATATATATATATATAT